GCTGCACAGTCTGGGTGTAGCTCTGGTTTTAGAGACCACGCCATGCAAGAGAATGTTTCCACAGTTTACCAGCTTAAAACGAACTCATGACTCCCTAGAAGACGTACAGAGTCTTATTCTTATTGAGCTGTTGGAGGGTGACGCAATCGACACCTGCAATCAAGATGTCCGGGCATTTTCGAACAAGTCAACTGTTCCTGGAGCACAAGCATACATTAACCGGTTATTAGTCAGAGTCCAAGCAAAAGCTCAACAGCTATTAATTCGACTCATGCCAGCACTAACTTCACATCCGTTTCGACGGGGAGGAGCCATGCACGCAAATGACGGATCGATTGCCGAAAACTGGATAATTGAGCGTGGGCGATGGCAGTTGGACCGAGTAAACAAAGCGTTTGGGTACATGCTGGGAACGACCCAAGCGGATCAGCAAGTGTCTCGCGTGCTTAGCGGCTGGAAGCTTAAACAAGGCGCTCGGCTTCCCTCCCTTTTAGCGCTAGACCCACCAGTACTTTATCGGGCTCGCAAAGTACTCTCGGTACTGTTCTCCAATACTCTCGCATTTGCAGATGCCGCTCTGAATATCGACGAGGACGTAGCTGACGTCCTCATGGCGGCGCTGCTGATGCACTATCCCGATATGCTAAAACTACAGTGCAGTAGCCTATACATTCAGAAATTCAGAGAAGTACTTGCGCGGCTGGCTGTTGGTTAAGCCGAGATACTTGCGTGGAGTTCTACTATCTCTTGAGACTTCGTGCCACAACCAGATGTCAAGACTACCTCATGTGTTGGGGCACCTGGCGAAATGGCTGAACTAATCACCCTGATGCAGCTCCAAGCTAAACAGATAGACATCCTCATTCAACAGAACAAACGGCTTGAAGAGCGAGTGTTAGCTGTAGAGTCAAACCTCCTCCGAGCAGCCAAGTAATCCGCGTCTTGATGGTGTCGAGAACTCTAGCGAGACTCCATCACATGGGCAGGAACACCTTCTCGCCATGCCACGTGCGAAGAAGAAGGGGTCTCAGACGCTTTCAGGAGTTTGATTCGAGTGGTTCACTGCTGATCCCCGTGTGTATGCATCGAATTCTGTTGAGAAAACAACGTTATACGAGATGAGGCACATCATGGCGTACCTGATGCTGTTTCTACCTCAAGGTTTCGCTCTCGACAGCATGTCTACAGCATACAAAGACGAAGTATTCACGTTAGGTGAAAAAGCGCAGGAGAACGCACTTACCTTTCTCAAAGCTAATGGATCCTCAGCGACTGCAGTGGGAACAGCACTCACAGCTCTTAGGAAGATGCACAAACTCGGTAAACTCGACCAGAAGGTTGCTCTTTTTGACGAGCAGGAAGCCAGTGGCAACGTCGTCGATCCAACTCCACCATCAGCGATCAAGTTCATTGGCTTTCGTCAGACCTACTACCCTGACAACGCATAAAACACACATCAGTAACAACAGGGACGATGATCGGAGTTGAACCGGCTAGCAGTATAATCTGCTGCTTCATCCGAAAGCATCCTCATCGATAACTACACCACGAATATAAATCAAGATGCCGCGTAATAGCTATCCACATGCACTTTCGAGCGCTAACAAAACACACACATAAATACCAAAATACCAGTGTCCTAAGTGAACGACCAGCCACGAGCACGAAACCACAAACGCAAACCACCAGCCCGAGGCTCAAGCCACTGCGCCAGCCACCCAACACAAGCCACGCCAAGTTCCCAGCCACCAGCGCTGACACAAGCCACGCCAAGTTCCCGACACAAGCCACGCCAAGTCCTCAGCCACCAGCACCACGCCAAGCCACGCCAAGTCCCCAGCCAGAAGCCACACCAAAACCCCAGCCACCAGCGCTGACACAAGCCACGCCAAGTTCTCAGCCACCAGCACCACGCCAAGACCCCAGCCACAAAAGCCAAGCCGGGTTTCCGTGCCGACCTTACGATTGTTCTCTGTCTACAACGTTAAGCCACATATATAGTTTAATGTCGCTATTCCATGTGGATGTCACAAAAATGAAGCGCCGGTTGGCATCGGTCAGACTGGTGGGAATTTTTACGGTATGGCGTTACACTTTTTAATGTAAAGTTGGTGTAATATTTTATTTCGCCAGTGAAATAGCGGTCTTTAGTTACGAACTCTCGCAGGATTGCTACCACGTATTTTCTTTGTGGGCGTGTCGAAGTCTAAGCTGCTAGCACCTGCGAACAGGGGTTAATAGTACTGCTCAAAACACGATAGTAGTAGTACTGAAACTATCAGGTTTTTTCGGTACGGAAATACTACTACTACTACTAATATTGACTTTATTAAGTAAGTAGTAGTATTACTCATATCAATTTTCAAACTACTACTGTAATACAATTTTAGTTTCAAAGTACTATTTAGGTTTCCTTCTGCTCCTTCGCCTTCTTAGCGTCTTGTTTCAACTTTAGGAGCTCGTTTCGGTTGTGTCGGAGCAGAAGCTGTTTCTCAG